ATTTTCCTACAGTCAGTGTAGATTCTCGGTAAATTTTGAAATAGAATACATAAAATAATTTGTATGTGGTAAAATACAAACAGGGAAAATGGAGGAGGCCAAAGAGAGTGGAGTGTCTGCAGTGGGTGGGGGAACGTGGTCTGCAGGGGCCCCGGAGGCCAGAGCTGGGGCAGGGAGGAGAAGCCAGCAGAGAAGGGAAGGAGAAAACTTCATTCACATGTTCTTCCAAATCTACCGAGTGTCTCCCTTGGGCTGCGCGCTGCTCCAGGAGCCTGATGGAGAAACGGGTTGGCAGTGCAGGGAGAGCAAGGGAAGGCGGTTACCTTCTGGGCTCCAAGAGATTTGAGTGTGTTTGTAAGCTGAGGGGAAGGAGAATTCGGAGAATGAAACACAAGATAGCAAAGACGGTTGAGTAGATAAGAGGCAAGATCTAAGAGCAAATCAGAGGGAACAAGGTCAGGCCCCAAGGGCAGTGCATGTGTGTGTGTGTGTGTGTCTGAGAGAGAGCGAGCGAGCGTCTGTGTGTATCTGCGTGTCTTAGAGAGAGTATATATGAATTAGAGAATATGGAATTATGACTATCTGTGTAAGTGGGTATACATGAATATATTTTGGATTTGAATATATAACAACTCCTGAAAATAAAGATTTGGGCAGAGCCAATTTTCTCTGCTATCTATCAAAGTGCCAAGGGCTATTCGGAAAGAGGAAACAAATATACAACAAATCCCATGGACTGAGCAATGGAGGAGATGCAGTTTGCCCCCTCATTCTGTTCAAAAGAGCAGAAAATAGTGCAGAAAGAGGGCAGAAGATGGTTACACAGGAAAATACACAGCTCAGAGGCTGCTCTGGAAGAGGCGGTAGTGTGTGCCACCGAACATGACCACCCCACATGCTCAGCAAATAGAAAGCCTCGGGGAGTCCTGGCCGGTACCCCGGCCTTGTTGTCACAGCTCTGGACTTGGCATTGATGGTTGTGCCTCCCACATGCCCTGATGCTCTTTATCCCCATCAGAGTTGCCTGTTTTGAAGAATTTGTGTTTGGCCAGAGTTAAATGAACCACTTTGTTTGGGGTTTCTCTCTCTGCCTAAGGGATAGCACAACTCAACATGTTTCAGGTGAAAGCCTGAGGCAGTCACCAGATAACTACGAGGGTCCCAGAGCCATTTTTCACAGTCACTCCCCAAAGCTCAGCAGACCCTCTGCAGAAATGGGAAGACTGAGGTGGGCCCAGGTGCGGGATCCGCAGCAACTCTGGCGTCAGTCAGGCTGAAGCTGATGACCCCTGCCAGGCCTCCTGCCAGGTTGCTTGCTTGGTCTTGCTTCTTACTTAATCAAGAAGAGACTCCTAGGGTGGTGTCTTAATGTAAACAAAGCAATTTGTGACTTGATTAACCCAGACAGAGCAGTGCGTCCTGTCCTCGCTTCTCCTCCTGCGCAGGCTCGGACTATTCCGAGGAGTTTCTCTGCACGTGGACGGCAGCGCCGCCTGTGGTCAGCCTGGCTTGGCTTTTTCCTCTGTTTCGCTTCCCACCACCCTATCTAGGATACCCATAGCAAGTAACTCATCCCAGGTGTCGCACAGAGACTCCACCCACTGCCTCCTGTGCTCTGGGTGTTGTGGGAAGTTGCAAACACCACCACCATTAAAAAGCAACCCAACGCTTGATGTCCTGGTGATGAGGTCTGGAGCTAACATTAGTGGCTGTGTCTCATCAAGAGAATATCTACTTGGTGATAGATTTCATGAATGTACCATCAAACCACCATCACCGTGGTGTTGAACTTCTCACATCAGAGCAGGCCTGTGGCTGGTACAGAACTGAGGGCCTTGCCTGCACGTCTATTAAACTAGTGGAGGGAAAGGAAGCAAACGAGAGGCTCTTGCAGTTAAAAGGGACACAAAAAAAATGGAGAAAATAACGAGAAAAGTTCTATGCCAACATGTTGTAAAACATCAACACAGTTTTTTCTTTGTTTGCCCTTTGAAATTTATTCCCTAATGTCCTCTTTCTCCACATGCGGAGCCGCCCCAGGCTGAAATGAAGCTGCCCACACCCTCCCTACACACACACACACACACACACACACACACACACACACACACGACACGACACTCAAAGAAGGGCCCTGAGCAGACTCAACAAACTTCCTGAAGATCCTGGCTCTCTGAGTATCTGTAATGTAGCCCTCAGCCATAATAAGGGTTCGTATTATTTTTCTATTTGCAACTGTAACAAGTTGCTACAAACTTGGTGGCTTAAACAATGCAAATTTCTTATCTTCAAGTTAGTGCTGTAGGTCAGAAGTCTGACACGAGCTTCACTGGGCTGAAATGGCTGGGCCGTTCCTTTCTGAAGGCTCCAGGGAAGAATCTGGTTTCTTCGCCTTTACCAGTTTCTAGAGGCTGCCTGAATTCCTTGGCTTGTGGACTCTTTGCTCCATCTTCAAAGCCAAAGAAGTGGGTCCAGCCCTTCTCACATCCCCTGACTCGGACCTCTCTCTTCTGCCTCCCTCTTCCACTTCTAAGGACTCTTGTCATTACACTGGGCCCTCAGGGGCGATCCAGAATAATCTTATTTTACAGTCAGCCCATTAGCATCCTAATTCCACCTGCAGCCTTAACTCCCTTTTGCCCTATAACTGACATATTTGCAGTTTCCGGGGGTTAGAACATGACATCTTGTGAGGCCATTATTCTGCCCACCATAGGACCTGAGTTTCTTTGTTGTCTTTTTTAACTTGTGCTGTCTCTCTTTTGGCTCCAAATAGTAACAGAACAAGCAAAGTGAAGTCTTAAAACAGATTCCTGAAACAGATTCGTGCTCACATTTCAGCTGGGCCTCTTACCACCTGCTGCTAGGGGCAGGTTTCTATCCTCTCTCTACACCCTTTCTCATCTGTAATGAGGATAATACAATCTACAGAAATGAGCGCAGGAAATGAGATGATGTTCAGAAGCTTTAGTATGATGTCTAGCATGTAGTAAGCGCTCAATAAAGGTAAGTTAACTTTTTAAAAAGTTAGGCAGAGCAAAGAGGGGGAGGGGGAGAAAGAAGGGAGAGAGTAGTATAATCAGTCTCTGTGCACCGAGTCCCGCACAGATGGTTCCGTCCTCCTCCTGGCTCCCTGAGTTGGTGCCGCCTGTGGAAGCCTCTTGGTCTCCCTGGGCAGGGAAAACAAAAGCTCAGCTGTCACCTTTGCTGCCCTTCCATCAAGGTGCGATTTTCTTTTTCTTTGCTGCCTCCTTCCTTCCTTCTCAGGCCAGGGGGTCGTCGCCTTGGTACTGACTCAGGAGCAGAGCCATTGTGGCTGCAGGGAGCTCCCGGATGGAAGTGGCGGTGGCGGTGGTGGTGGTGGCGGTCGGGGGACTGGCAACGGAGCCCCATCTCCGCTCGTCCACGGTCACTCACTCAGCGCCCCCGCAGCACCCAGGCCCTGGCTCCCCCAGGCGTGTGGATTAGATTAAGGAGCGAGAGTCAAGGTTTTCCAGAAGTAATTACACCTGACTTTGCATAAAAGTCGCTGCTTGCGCTGTCCTTGCCGCTGCCCGGCAGAGGGAGATCCAAAGTCTAGCCCGCCCTTCCCCGCCAGTCGGGAGGGCGGGGCGCTGTGGTAGCGATCTTGGCCCCGAGAACCAATGCAGGTGCCAGAAAGGCTGGCCTTCCAGGGAGCAGCCAGGCTACCTACTGGGTTGACAAAAACAATAAAGTGTTAACACACAGTGTAGACGAGGATGAAGAGAAACCGGCACTTTACACAGTTGGGGAAAGTAATCCAACACTTTTTGGTTTTTTTTTCAAATTAAAAGCACATACACATTTAAAAAATATCACCCATCTGTACGTACCTTTCTGCCAGTAATCCAACTTTGGGGATAATCTATTCTATTGAAAAAATAAAAATACTACTACATAATGTTGTTTGAACAGGAATACTTATTACAACAATATTTGTAGGACAGCAAAAAACTGGGAAAACCTACATGTCCGTCAATAGGTGGAAAATGAAATAAATTGTAGTATGGCCTTGTAAGAAATATTGTGTAACTATTTAAACGAAGCAGTTATTTGTTTAGCTATTTATCTTGAAGGATTTGGTAGAAAAGAAAAATATATCATAATTTTATAAAAACAAACAAAAACCCCATCCTCCAAACGGGTCTATGTCATATAGGTACAAGCACGGAGAAGGAGTGGAAGGATACACGTCACTCTATTAACGTTAGTTAGCGCAGGGCGGGTTAATTTTTTTCGCTCTATGTATCATTGTATTGCTTTGCTGGATTCAATAAACGTTACATTTTTTTTCTCTTTTGGGAGAGTAATTTAATATGAATGGCTGTGGGGGAGGGGAGGAGGCAGGGAAGCTCCAGGAGGAATCGGTTAGTGCTGGGAGAACCCAGGGACTCGAGGTGGGGGTTCGCAGGCAGTGAAAGCCGGGGGGTCTGGCCCAGGCTCTCGACCCAGGTTGGGTGCGGTAGGGTCTGGGGGTGCAATCACCGTCGAGCATGATTCAAGGAGCTTATCCAGAGCATCCTCTGAGATCTGAGCAGGCCAGCGGGGTGGAGCGCGTGGCCTGCAGCGAGAGATATTTAAGCTGCTGGATTAGAAAGAAAAACTGCACCAAAGTATTAAAGGTCGTAATGAGGTTCTCTACGCGACGACGTTATTTTGAAGAGTTCTGGGAGACTTATCGGATTAAGCCTGTATGGAGGCAGGAGGAAACAAAAATAGTAACAGGTACCATTAGGTAAGCAGCATAATGCGCAAAAGTGCTTTGCCTGGGTTATCTCATTTGATACAAAGTACACTCCTACGGCGTAGGTATGACTATCCCCATTTTACAGAGGAGGGAACTGAGGCTCAGAGGGGTTAAGTAACTCACCCATGGTTACGCAGCTGGTAATGGAGGTCTTCTGGCTCCTGAGTGCTCATTCTAAAGGGGACGTCCTTCCAGGGCAAGAATCTGGACAGGAATGTTACATTCCTGCTCGCCCGGTGGGGCTGGAGTGGGGAGATTGTCGAAGCCGGGACGGGCGGGGCTGGCACGGTTTCCTTATTCGGGCATTCGGTTTCGGGGCTGCTCCGGCCCCAACCTCAAGGAAGGGCCCCTAGGAGATGCTGTTCCTCTCCTTGGGGAAAAAACACAAACTACAGCATTACAAAGTTCCCTGACGCCCTGGCCTGGGTGGTGAGGGAGGCGGGGCTGGAGGGCGGTGAACCCAGTGTCGCCTTCCAGCCGCACAGCTAGAGCTCACGGTGCTTGCCCCTACCCCGCCCCACTTCATTTTCAGGACACAGGCGAGGCGCAAGGGAAGCAACGCTTTTTTGATGCTTTGATTTTCTTTGGCAGGTGTTCGGGAGGAAGGAGCAGTGGGACAATGACCCTTCCCTCCAGGCCCAAGGGAAAGGGTGGTAGACTGTTCCAGAGAGAGGACCCCTCCAGGACCACCCGCGCCCAGCCTGGCGCTGCCAGATCCCCAAGCCTTGGGTGTGCAGGGGATGGGGAGAGGGAGAGAATGGTTGAAGACCTTTCCAGAAGCAGCTCTGCCGGTATTTGAGGGACTTTCGGGAATGGGGGAAGGGGAAGGGCTCCATCTCGCCCTCTCGATTTCCCCGGGGGCGGGACTCCGGGCGAGGGCTGGAAGCTGGCGCTCCCCCAGCTCGGGTTAGGCCTGCCCAGCCCCACGGCTCCACGACTCCCGTGGCCCCGGCTCTTGAGGTTCTCGGGCGGGAGCGAAAGGATCTCTGAATCCGCAGAGAGAGAATCTGCGGGGTGGTCTTGTGCACATCTGCTTCTCTGAGAGTCCCGAATGAACATAAGTCCTGATTTCATTGTATTTTCTCTCTCTCCTCCACACCACTACCATCTCCAGCTCTACTTCTGGATCTGTTTTCCCCATCTTTCTCCACGCCGCCCACTTCCCCTGTCATTCTCCTCCTCCTCTCTAATTCCGCCTCCCAAGGGCTCTGGAGTTCCTCGGCTGGGCCTGGTGCTCTGGAGTTGGAATTGGCCTGACATTTTCACGGGGATAACCAAACATTACACTCAGTGAACTTCTGTGTCTTGAATCTACTTGGGCAGGGGATAGAGTGAAGGAGGGTCTTTCCTGAATCCCAACATGTCCTCAAGGGCCCCAAGCCAGCGCGAGTGGACAAAGTGGAAAGCCGCGGGCCGCGCCCAGAGCTGGAGACGCTGCTGTGTGAGGTGGAGGTAAGTAAGATGCTCTCCTTGGTGTCTGACACCTACTATGTCCCCGCAGCTCAGCGATGGGGATGCTCACCTTGGTTAATATTAAGCTCACCGAGCTGGGAACAGGGCTTACTGCGTTAATGCTTAAAAACAATATCAACTAACATATGGAGATGTCGTCATGATTAAACACCAAATTATAGTCGAAGACAGCGCGATAATAATCTAAACAATCACCACAACCAGAAGAAAGGTTCGCTGAAGAGCCAGATGTGGCAACCCGCGTTTCCAAGATTCGCGGCCTGGCGTTCCTGGGGCTCTCCCCAAGTGCACGTGAGCGTGGTCCCCGGCCTAGAACAGGGCAAGGGAGCTCTAAACCCGGCACCAAGCTTTCTCGAGACTCCCCGGCGCAACCTGGGACAAGACAGAGTGGGGGCGCAGAAGGACCGGCGGTGGGGCGCCCTGCCTCTGCGGCGGCCCCACCTAGGAGGCAGTTGCAGCCGCAGCAGCACGCGGGTCTTTGAGAAGAACCCTGTTGGGGGAGCAGACGGGCCCTAGTTCCCAGTCCACAATCCCGCCCACCCCCCTTCGTCGCCTCTGTCCCCTCCCTCAGTCTCGCCTTCTTCTAGATTTGGAAGGAGGTTTGATTTCTAGGTGGAAGCCCGCGGAGCGGCGGGGGGAGGGGGAGCGTCCTCCGCGTGTCGCGGGGTCTCCCTCCCCTCAAAGCCTGGGGAGAGCGACGCGTGCGTTTTCTTTCGGCAAGCAGGGGGCCCAGTTGTGCGCGCTGGTTCGCCCCCAGTTTGCGGAGGGAAAGATCGATAGGAGGCGGCGCGCTGTCAAGGCAAAAATGACAGGAGAAGACCCTCCCTCCTTCTCCTCGTTCTCCTTTCTCTCATTAAATAGATTCTTATTTAAAATAGGCTCAGACATTTTAATTTGAATTCCAGGGGTTGGGCTCAGGTTGGAATTGTCCTATTTATACTCAGACCGAAAATAACCATTGAAACGAAGGGATCAAAACCAAACTCTATTTTCCAAAACAACTAGCGTTCCCGCGGTGCCCACTCCGCGCGGGCGGCGAGCGTCTCCTCTGGTTTGGACGGAGAATCCGGGACCGACGGCGGACGGGGCTGGGTAGCGGGGTGGCCGGGGGAACTATTCCCTGGGGCGGCCGGCGCGGCGCCTGCGTGAACTGGCCCCGGTAATATATGCTGCCATTAAGAATCCCGGCAGCTTCCAGCGCTCGGGGCGCAGGGACGCATGTGTTGCCGGAATTCAATCCGTGGGGGGAATGCAGATTTGGCTGCGACCTACCGGGTTTGATTTATGAACTGTTACTCTAGCGATTGTTTACACATTGCATTTCAGAGCCCCCACTTCTCCTCCAGGCGCCGGCCAGAAGGCTCCCCCGCGCAGGCACCCGCCGCAGCCCCTCGGCCTCGCTCCAACGGTCCTCCACCCCCTACCCCCCAGCCCGGGGGCCCCACAGCTCCCTCCCACCCTCGCCTTCTCCAGGAAATCAGATATCGATTTCATTGAACCCAGAGACGTACGTTCGCTTCTCCCTCCCCAGCAGGCTCCAGTTCTGCAGCTTGGACCCCGGCCTCTTCCGCTCGTGTTTACTCTCGAATGTTTACTCCTCCGTGAGGCCATGCGGAGCCTATAAATAGGAGAGGTGGAAGCAGCTCGACTGCCAGATCAATAGGGCCCCGTCTCCTCGCCATTTCAGCTGAGCTGTCTTATTAATTATGAAAGGATTCACCTGATCCCTGCCAGGGACCACAGCCTCTCTGCCCCTCTGCTGGAGCCCTTAATGGCGGTTCCTTCGCAAGCTGCCTCCGGCCACCACAGAGGAAAAGGCGAATCGTGGTTAGGGCTCGACCCGCCTGGGGCGGGGGCTGCAGGCCGGCCTCTGGCAGTCGGTCTGCGTGTGTTTTCTCAGCTGCTCGCAAGCCCAATTCCCCCAAACCTCACCGAGAAAAGATCTCCGCTTTTTAATTAACTTATTTAAAAAGAACTTCCTCTTTTTCTTCTCTAAGTAAACAGAATTTCAGGGAAGTAGCAAAGTGTCCCAGCTCAGGAGAGTCTGCTTGAAGATGGTGGGTAATCCAGTTGCTTGTGAACAGGCGAATTTATCACCTGGCGTCATGTGCCGCTTCAGGAGTTCTCCTCCCTGAGAACTCGGCCAGGAAAGCGGGCTCGGGCAGGAAACACACGACACCCCCATTTCAAACAATAACTTTTATTTTATACTTCTCTATACTTTGTAGCAAATCTTTTTTTGCTGAATTTAATTTATAATAAACTTTTTAAATTACATCTCTCTCTTTTTTTTAAAATCAAGGCTCTTTTATGTCAAAATCTTTTTTTAGCTATATTTTAGGTTAACATTTAACATCCCCCCCCTTGTGATCTATACCGTTGGATATTCAGGTATTACTGTATGTGTAACACGTAAAACAAGAGGGAAAATAAAGGCCGTGGACTTGGAAAGATGCATCGACAACAGCAGGTAAAGCTTAACCTCTCAGTGACGTTAGCAGCATTTCTTCTGGCAGCCTGTAACCCGAGGTTCCCTCCATCCTTTTCCTCTCTTCCCTCCTATCGTTAAACACAGAGCCAACAATCTGTCTTTTCACTTTTCTCGAGGAGAAATGTGCAGTGGAAATGATCAAAACAAGATACTGTGGAAGAAAGACGTGAGCGTGAATTATTCACCATATGCCTCCCTCGTGGACATCTCTCTTGAATTCATTCCCCTGGCCTTCTCCTCTCCTCTCTTTCCTATTAGGAGGAGCCCATCATTGGTCATGTAGTAACATGATTAATATAGTAGGTGGCCCAGGGCCATTCCTGAGATTCTTGTGCCAAAAAAAAAAAAAAAAAAAAAATTAAAAAAATGGGGTGCGTTTGCCGTTTTCTTATTTTTATGTGAAGACGGACTAAAGCTGAGGTCCGATTTTGGCTGTGCTTGCTTGCTCACTGATTGGTAACATTTGGCAAATAAAACACAAGAAATCAAACGAAATCAAAAAGAGAATCAGGATTTCCCACAATCCTATATGAGTGTTTTCAGCATCACAGAGAATCACAACGTCCCCAAAGAACGAATGGATCTTCCTCTCGATTTCCGGGAGCATGGAGTGAGTGTGGGTGGGCGCGCGGGGGGAGCCGGCCCCGCGCTCAGAAGGAAAGCCAGGCCGCTAAAGCTGCCGAGAGAGACACCAGGAGCACGGGGAGCGCCGGGAGCAGGGACCCCGCCGCCCCGTTGCCGCTGCCGCAGAGTTCGAATAAGCTGCCTTGGATGTTGAGGTTTTTGGATTCTTTTCTCAGTTTATCCCACATATCTTTCGCCCCTTCCTGGCAATCCGTAAGGGCTGTGACCGTGCAGCTGTGGAAATCCTCCCAGTATCTGGCGAGGAACAGAACAAAACAGAAGAAGCAGGTTCACTTGGGGCTCGGGGAGGACCCGGGCCTGCGCCCCCTCGCCTCCCGGGTCTCCGCCTCCCGCACCTCCCTCCTCCTCTCCACCTCCCCGGCGCCAGGCCGCACCCGGCCCACCCTGGAAGCCGCCGTCCCAGGGCAGGGGCCGCCCCTTTCCGGGTCTGGTTTCTCTTCCCGGCAGCCGGGAGCCGGGCTGCACCCGCTGCGCCGCGCTGGCACCTCGGCCTGCGCAAACAGATTGCTCGTCCTCCTCGGGGGAGGCTAGGAAAACAGTGCTAAGCCTTGCAAGCTGCCGCCCATTAATGCCTCTTAGCTTGTGAGATGGGTTGCTTGCTCCCAGCATGGCCCTCCCCTCCAGCCTTCTCACGTTCTCCTCCCCCTCGCCCCTTCGGACTACCCCCCTCTCCTCGCTGCGGAACTCTCTCGCCGCCGTCGCCCTCCGTCTGCCCCTCCCTTCCTTTTGTTTCCAGTTCTTATTTTCCCTTTCTTTCCTCTTCCCTCCTTTGTCTTCCTCCTGTTCTCTCCCCTCGGTTTTCCTCTGTTCAGTTCTTCGCTTCCTCTTCCTCCTGCCCACTTGCCTCGGTCTTCCGCGGCCCGTCGCCTTGCTCCGCGCAGTCCCCCGGCTCAGATTCGGTCCAGAGCCTCCTGCTGCCTCTCCCCTCCTCGGGGTCGGGGAATGTTAGTGCCCGAGCCCCTGGGGCCAGCTCTGTGGCCTTCCCCTGCTTTTGCCAACCCCAGTGCTCCTGGCCTACATGTTTGGTCCGCTCTCTCCTCCTCCTCCAGAGCCTTCTTCGCAGGCTTGGACCCCTTGAACCTTACCCGCCACGGCCTTCGGGCGTAGTGCCCAGCCCCCAGGCCGGGACTCCTGGGCTGGCGAGGTGCCCACCGCTGCCAGCCTTTGAGGGATCCCTCTCCTGTCCTACCGGCCCGCCTCTTGAGCCCCACGCCTTCCTCAGCCGCTTCCTTCTCCTGGGCTCAGATCCTAGCCCCGCCCCCACAACCTTCATCCAACCTGTCCTTTTTTATTGTCCCCTTTTCTTCTGACAACCCAAAATAGATCCCGCGACTAAATATAATTCCAACCCGTGATCGATTCCTGGGGCGCTGTCTCCTTTCGGTGCTGGGTCGATCTGTGAGTCTCGGTAACTCTGGGCTGGATCCCGCCTCACCGGGGCCCTTAGCGCCAGGTCACCAGCAACTCACCTCCAGGAAATTTGGTTGTATTTTCTCCTCTCTCTCCCTTGTGCTTGCTAGCCTGGACTGTAAGCATGTTGAAGGCAGGCACCATGTTTGATTTATTCTTGTTTCCACTCCTACCCCATCTTCTGGCTACTAGTATAAGTCATAAATGCTTGTTGGGTTGCCTGGAGCTCTGGCTGTTTTCTAATGACCTCTGTGAATCTCCAGTTTGTGAAGACTCGGGGACCTGGGTCGCACGGCTTCCAAGTTCCTCAATTTGTAATAAATAGTGAGATTGAGAGAAACCAAGAAGCTGAGGGACAGCTCTCTGAGAAATTGCACCTCCCAGAGAATGTCTACAACTCTCCTTTATGCATGCCCAGATGGCGACAGGACCTTCTGGAAGAGGGACAGGGTGGAAAAGGACAGATATTCATGTGGAACTGAGAAAGAGGTGGCTTCAGCAGGGTGTTGAACGACCAGCATCCAGCTGTGGCCTGTGACCTCTGGAAGGACCCCTCCTCATTTCTATTTTCCAAGACCAAAGGCCTGCTAAAAAATTAAAATAGCTTCAAATAACCAAGTTCCAGCAAATGATGGAGGATTTGGGAGCTGATCTATATTTAACCTTTTGTCCAGCATTATAGATACATTCTTACCTATCATCAGACATTTGGAATTAAAGTAGGTGGGTATGCATCCCGGACCCAGCCTTTTGTCCCTTTCCTGATGGGAACGTACCCGCCACTTAGCTGCTGTGGCTCCTGGTGGACACCAGGAAAAGTGTGTAGCAACACTGACTCCCATTTACTCATCATTTAAACAAATAAACATCCCAGAAAATAGGGAGAGAGGAAAGACTTCACAGTATGAAAAGGATGGTGCAGAACGTTGTCACTCCACCCTTTGGGGAAGGAGGCACACCTCTTGCCTTGGCTTTACGGAAGCGCCATTATGGTGGGAGGGGTTACAACTGTTTATGAAAAATACAAGTGTGTGTGTGTTTGTGTGTGTTGCAAATCATGGAGGTATTTCTAAGGTCTGCAGCAGCTAAAGTGTTACTGGCCACCACAGCAGGGCTCTGCTAGTTACCTCATTTGCTAATGGAAGCAGCACTTTCCAGCCAAGCTCTGGAAAATGCCAGTGGGCTTGGCCATGAACTCCTCCAGGCCCTCCTGGGGCCCTTTGCTGCCCTGTCCTGGGGATGCCATGTAGTTGCAGGAAGAGGGGTGGGAAGCAAGGAGGGTGGCTACCCTAAACCCTGGCAATCACTAAAAACTCAGCAAAGATGGTCACTGGTCGCCAAGGACATGCTCTTCTTGGGCAAAGTCATTGGAACAAAACAAAATATTCTTTCAGCCTCTCTCCTAGAAAGAGGAAGAGGGACCCATGCTCCTTTGCCCACACCCTAGTTTTCGTGGTGTGTCCTAGAGGGGAATTTTATCAAGAGAAATGGACAAAATCGGCAAGTGACTTTCCTTTTAGGCAAACCCCAGAATTACTTAAAACGCTCCTCAAACCAAAACTAACTGTTCTTCGGAGAGTACTCGGCAGGCCACTCACTCACTCGGAGGGAAAGAATGATGAAGGCTGCCTCAAACAGAGCGAGGAACTGGTGGCAGCTCTCCCAGGGGCCCTCACCCTGGGTTCCAGCGCTTTGAATGCGTGAGTCTGTGTGTGTGGAGTGAGGCTGTGGAGGGCTGGGGCTGGGCTGCGGGAGGAGGAATCCTCCTCTGCCCATGTCAGGCCATACAGTCCCCTCGGGCAGTGCAGGCCCCTGCCAAGGCCTGAGGGTGGGAGGCAGAAGCGGAGAATGCGCCCTTTCGCGCTGGCACGGAGTACAGAGCGCAGGCCGGGAGGCGAGGAGCTCCCGCACCTCAGCAGCGACCCCCAGAACAGAAACCTAGCAGGCCAGAGAAGACTT